TGCCGTCTTTGGCGATTTTTTTTTTTTTTTGCACAGCCAAATTCCATGAAAACTTACAGATGTGTACTTCACATTAAAAACAAATCGTTAAAAAGTTTTCAAAAAATAACAAAATTGTTTAGGCCCCGCTGTCAGATCAAATACCCTTACAAGGGTATTTGGCCATACTTTTGTATTCGACACGGTGACAACGTCGGCTACCATGACGGAGCCGGGCTGGAGTGGAAAGGGTGTGCACGCTTTAGTGTGACACTCAAAATAAATTCCTCTGCCAATGAGGCCGGGGCGAATTGGTGATAAAATTTCGAAAGTATGTGCGTGCGTTGTTATGACGCGCGCTGTAATGGGTACAATCGGTAGTAATGCCCCGTCGACAGAAGAGGCCGAGGGGTTGATTAGGTTAGAGTTTGTGTCAGGTACATCTACAGCGCACACTGAGACTTGGGAATGTTACCTGTCTATCTACCTGTATTTGGTGTCTAAAAGTGTCAACTTTTGTCTTCTTATGCTCGGCCTCGAGTACCCGGCGCGTCTACCTCTACTTGGTGAGGTACTGGCCGCCTGCTAATTGAGTATTTCCACTGCCGCGAGCCTCTTTTCCCGCCACCTGAGTGTTTTCCCCGCCGTTGTCGCACTTTTTCCAGTTGGGCCTTTTCAGGCGACCGGAAAGCCAACAGGCTGTCACGCAAGATTTGTTGTTGGTTGCAATAATTAAATAATGCAAATCCCTTCCTGTTGTGTGCGTCCGGCTTCGAGCGAGACCCTTCAATTGCGGTTTTCGCCGGTCCCCGGTCTTCGGAATCTTTGATTGTGATTCGGAACAGCAATCATAGAGCAAATAATAACAATTCAAACAAATATATCGTGTGTGTATCGAGATGCCAATTTAGGAATTTAAGAACTGTGACATGATTAACAAAAGAGAACATAACCATCAAGCAATGTCAAGGAGGAGATCAAGACCGACTGACTCAAGGCAAAGACAAGATGAATGAGGGAAGAATGATAACTCATAATAATCTAAGGAAGTACACATAAGCAAGCATGGTAAGCACCTCTCAAGAGTCCTCACTCATCCCTCTAGGCAGTCTCTCTCAATCTCTCATCTTGTTGTTCATCTCTGGTGCTGTGCTCCACGCCCACGTACAGTATGAGATAGAGGCCTCGTGACAAAGTGTCACCTGAAGCCAGCAAGCTCTGAGCATGACCATCCAAGATACATGACACGAAAGTTAACCATAGAGCAAAACTCCTCCCACAACGTAGGCAACCCGTCCACTGAGAAGACTCCTCGCCTGAGGTATGGGTACTCGGTTGGCTCTGTCAGTGCCTCAACGTCGATCACCGCTGGAGAGATATACCTATTTTCCAAGCCGACCATATCATGCCAACTTGTACCATCTGTGAGAAGAAAGGGAACGGGAGGCTGAGGATAGTCTGTATGAAGCTTGGGCCCAAAGCTGCGAATCAGTTTGGTGCCGCTCTCATCGATTTCTCTCTCCGTCCGCTCGAGATACCTTGTGGCGGAGATCCTTGCATCAAAATGCTCATGAGCCTCTTTTCCCTTCTTCAGATAAGGCCTCAGATCGTGGATAGTGCCATCAACAAAATTGGTGTGGACAACGAAGATTAACAGATCTCCTTGTCTGAAACCAATGGCACTAGCATACTGATAACGGAATGCCTCTTTGCATGAAATCTGATTGAGATTGACCAGCACTGACTCGCTGACTCGAAAGGATTCGACTGTACTCATGGAAAATGACTTTTGTTGTCTGCTGATTGCTGCTGATCCGACTCTTGAGTTGATTGCTAAACTGAAAGTCGTTCCTGAATGCTGTTTTTTCCGAATGTTGTCTCTGATTATCGTTTCTGAATGCTGTTTCTGAATGCTGTTTCTGATTGTCGTTTCCGAATGCTGTTTCCTTATGGTTATTTTTTTTTTGATAAGTAAATGTTGCTAAGATTGCCGACTAGACATTAGAAGGATGTTGGTTGATTGCTGGTTGAGGACTGAATGACTGCTGCTTAGAAATCTGATTGATTGCAGTTTGAGGTCTGCTGGAGTAGGAAGTCTTTATGCCACAGTCACTTAGCAACAGACTGCAACGTTGTTCGATGATTAGTATCTGGCACGCGAGACTTAGGTTGGGTACTGATAGAAAACTGATTGACTGTTAACCGGAAAGTTAAACGAATGCTGATAAAGATTTTACTTGACTGATTGCTGATTGAGTATTACTGAAAAGTGTCTGTCACGTTTCGAGTCAATAGTTGTCCATTGAGTGGGTAGCCACCACTGCAGAGCTGGCAAAACCCAAAAACCTGCTTGGGCGTTGTTATAAGTTGTTTAAATGCCGCTTTGAGTGCTAAGTACAACTCTGAGTTTTATTTTAAGTATTGTCTTGAGTACTAAATATAGTTCTGAGTACTTTCCTGTGAACTGCCTTGAATACTAAATACTGCTCTGATGATTATTTCGAGTACTATGTGAATAATGTCTGAGTACCGTCTGAGTAGTTTCTGAGTAGTTTCTGAGTGTTGCTCCGAGTACTGCTCTGGAAGCTGGCTGGTTAAGTCAAAGGGTCGTAAACTCACACGTCGTCATACTGTAAGGAAGAGAAAGGATTTGGAGGAGTGTTTTGCTGGTTCAGGCACTGGTAGGTTTTCCGAARAAGGTATTTCGAGCACCACCAAATTCATGCAAGTCTCGCCCTAGCATTTTCCACCGTCTCTAGCRAGGAGCTGATATTGTGCACCTTGGCGTTGGGTCCATAAAAATAGAGTACATACTCAATATATTTTTCATCCCTGACCCTCCGGACTGCATATTC